AAAGAAGCCATTTGCCATTCATAGCTCACATAGACTGGAGCAGTATCGAGGCCTGTGGTTTTGCAGGGCATGTGCTGCGCAGGGCAGCACGCGGTTCCTGAAATTGTCTAGCCCTTGTGCTCCTGGTATCAGCAAGAAGGGGAGATTGACCCTTCAACAGATAGATCAGGGCAAAAAGCCCAAGGGAGTCAAACAGTGGCCTGACGAGAAGGAGGCTTGAAGATGCCGCCACCTCTCCTTCCCCCGACGGCCCACCGACGACTGCCCGCTGGGTTCGTTGGTTGAGCATGCCAGGGGAAGGGTGGCCAAGTTTTCGAGCTGGATCCCAGGCCTTTCATCTTCTTCAATTTTGTATTTTATGCCCACCAGCACAGGGCTGGTGGAAGGGGTCGGGCCAGGGGTCAGGGGAGAGTACTCTCGCCTGGCATGACTCTTTAAGAGGCACTAATGTGACCATCGGACACTGCCTCAGGTGGGGGCGCAGGAGGATGAGGAGGAGGAGGAGGAGGAGGAGGAGGAGGAGGAGGAGAACGAGGAGGAGCAGGAGGAGCAGGAGGAGCAGGAGAGCAAGAGGAGGAGGAGGAGGAGGGGGGAGAGGAGGAGGAGGAGGAGGAGGGGGAGGAAGTGTAGGGGGATGAGGAGGAGTACGAGAAGGAGGAGGAGGAGGAGGAGGAGGAGGTAGGAGGAGTGGGAGCGGTGGCTCACGGGAGTGCCGCCACACAGCCGCTGAGCCCCATCGGGAGGTCCAGCGCCTCGGGCCCCATCGAGATCGCGTGCTGGGCGCCCGTGCGCTGGCCCTCGGTCTCGGGAGGGGCACGCCGAGGGACGGGGCAGCGGCCCCCCCCCGCTTGAGATTTAGTCGTTGCATTTTGTTCACACCGGGCGTTTTCTGCACTCCTTCCTCGGGCGGGTGGCAACGGGGGGGGGGCCTACATGGGGGGGGGGGGTTGAGGGGGGGAAAGGGCCCGAAGTAAAAGGACCCTGAAGTGCCCCTTTTTGGAGTCAGAAGGGGCCCACCAGAGGCCCCAAAGGGCCCCTTTAGGCCCCTTTTCTTCACCCCCCCCCCTTTAGGTCACCTCCGATTACTGCCTGCCCAACTCCCATCGTTCCGATTGGCGATTGGGAGGGGGAGGAGGAGGAGGTGGCGGAGCGGAGGAGGACAACAAAGAGGACAAAGCACGGCAAGGACGCGTCGGGCCACGGGTCAAATCTACCCTCGACACCGACACACGTCGAAGCACATTGAGACGCTCGACCTGCAGCGCGCACACACGTTTACGACAATGACGTTTACGACAATGACAATGGGAGCACCACATTGTCGGAGGAGGAAGACAGCGAAGAGAACAAGGAGAAGGACGACATTAGCATGGGGGGAACACGTCCTAAAAGAAACGGGTCTAGGACCCTGGGGCGTTCCCCCAGGACGAGTTCTTCATCTCGGGTCGGTCCCGGGGGACGTAGAGAGCCCCGAGAGCCCGCCCGCCTCCCCCATGGCGAAAGGAGGAGGAGGAGGACGAGACTTGCCGGTCCAGGCCGATGAGGTCCACCGCGTGCAGCTGGCCTGGGAGAGCTCGGTGGTGCCAGCCTTCGCGGCGGACTACGAGCGCCATCCAGAGGAGGGCCTGCGGCGGGCCGCCGCCTCGGCCCCTGCGCGCCAGATCGGGCCTCCCCAGCTCCCCTTTCTCCTCTTCCTCCTCCTCCTCCTCCTCCTCCTCCTCCTCCTCCTCCTCCTCCTCGTCTGCCTCCTCCTCTTCCTCCTCCTTCTCCTCCTCATCATCAGCAGTAGCAGCATCAGCATCAGCATCATCATCATATTCTTCATCATCATCAGCAGCATCATCATCGTTATCATCATCACCATCATCATCACCATCTTCATCATCATTCTCCTCCTGCTCCTCCTGCTCCTCATGCTCCTGCTCCTCATCCTTCCTCCTCCTCCTTCTCATCATCATCAGCATCATCATCATCATCATCAACATCAGCGTCATTATGAGGCTCACTATGAGACGAAAGTGCCACCCCTTCTGCATGACTCGATCAAACACAATGTCAAGCCTGTATTTCATAACATGTCCTTCTCGTACATGGTTGTGTTCCCGAGCAAGACTCACGCACAGCAGTTCAAGGACGGCATCGCGTCTCGGCAGATGGAGTGCGACTGGGTCGACCCTCGGGACAACGTTCAGCACCAGATTCGTGCTGGTGCGCACAAACCGTTGGAGATCCGTAAGAGGGGCTTCGTATTGAGTCAGCTATGGCGTATGATCAAAGAGCACCTCCTCTCTCACCAGTTGTGGCGTGAAGGAGTATGTAGTTTGGGCACCAACGCGTACAAGGGCTCGCTGTACTTCTCGAACGGAATCGAGGCCTGGGAGCTGTTCAAGGTTGAGGAGCAGAGCAGCGGGTACCGCATCACACCCATGGTGGAGGATCTCTCTCAGATCCAGATGAACGAAGCAGGCGCCCAGGGCATCATCTCTCGTGTCTCCTTCCCATAGGATGAGGACGTCGAGGACATCATCACAGAAGACATCCCTTCTCGCACAGCATACGTACCGAAGAAACGGGTCAAGGTGTGTACCTGGAATACGAAAGCTCTGTTTGGGAGTGTTCATGGTGAACATAGGGTACAAGAGCGCAGGTATGCCAGATTTAGACACCTTCTCGAACGGCACGATATTGTCTGCTGCCAGGAGGTGCACGGCTCGGAAGGGGATCTTAGCAATGTGAAGCGAGACATGCCAGGATACCTGTTCTTTGGGAGCTTCTGCGAGGAAGCGCGTGCAGGTGGATGTATGATTTGTCTTGCGCCAGAATTTGCCGAGCAGTTTCACTCTATAGACTGTGCTGTGATCTTAGCAGGGCGATGCATTCTTCTCTCTTGCTCTGGACCTGAAGGAGTTCTTCAGGTATGCTGCCTTCATCTTGTTCCTTCCCTCTCTCGGCCTGCCAAACGTGCTCTCCTGCGCCAGATTCGAGATCGTTTTCTCTGTCCTGCTCAGGGGCTCGGAATCTTGGCAGGCGACTTTAATTTCTATGCGTCAGGCGAGTCTCGACAGTATGGGGACGGCACTCACCACAATAATGCACACACGCTTGCCGAGCACTTCGATAACCTTTTTACCGACTTTGGTGAAGTTGAGCAAAACCTGCATACACACAAGGAGGAGGTGGGGGGGAACGTTGTTTCGATGGCGAGATTAGATCGTATATATGTTAATTGCTTTCCTGCGGTTCTCAAAGATCTACAACCTATGACGGGGGTGATTGGGTATGGAGTTTCTGACTGGTGCAGTGATCATGCGCCTGTTTTTCTTAGACTTGGAGTTCGGCGTGCTCCTCGTTACGATCAGGTTCCAGCGTGGCTGGCCAAGACAGCAGAATTTAAGGACGCTGTGGTAGAAGTACTGTCTGAGATTTTTTTGGAAGGTACGATTGGGGAGAAGCTATCACAATATAAACATGTGCTATACGAAGCGGGGATGAGGGCAAGGCGGAAGAGGGAGGAAAGGGGAGCCAGAACTATTCACGATAAAGTAAGCTGGATGTATGCGGTCTTGAATTCAGTGCGCGCGAACAAACATGCTGTTCTCAGGAGAGCTGTTCGAGCTTATCCTGCTCTGAAGGAGTTCGTGAATGAGGAGGAGGGGGTTTGGAATGATCTCGAGGGCTTCCACCAGCATCTTCAGAGGCTAACCCTTCAGAATCTGGCGGAGGAGGAGGAGGAGATTCTTAGAAGCAGCTTGCCGCAGGCCATAAAAGACGCCCGCGTCAAGCGTATCAACCGATTGCAGCAAGCCTGGGCAAGAGTTCGCAGAGTAGCTCCTTTTGTAGGCATCTATGACGACCAGAGGAGGGAGATGACTGACCCTGCAGAATGTTCCCGCCATCTTGCTGCACACTGGGGGGAGGTTCACAGAAGTAAAGAGGCCTGTGCTGCTGCGTACTCTGCCTTTGACGAGTTTGTACAGATCGCTCCAGATCATGTTGAATGGCAACTGTGCCGCGAAGAATTTTTCGAACGCATTGATAGGTTGAAGGACTCGGCCCCGGGTGCGGATGGATTACCATACAGTTGTTGGAAGGTGGGGGAAGTGGGAAAAGAACTCTTATACGAAGTCTACGAGCGCCTGTTCTCGCACGGCGAGCTGCCTGCTGATTTTAACGAGTGCATTGCAGTGTTCTTACCCAAAGGGGAGGAGGCGGAGGACGCGAGAAGGGGGATATTCAGGGAACCAGCCACTACGAGACCTATCTCGCTCTCCAATTCGTGCAATAAGATTATTGCCAGCGCGGTGGCGCTCCCTCTGGCTCGTGTGTCTGTGCATACGGTCGATGCTTGCCAGCGTGGATTTGTACCAGGTCGGCAGATTGTCGACAATATTATCGATCTGGAGGCCGACTTACTGGAGCACGGGACAATATATGGCGAAAGAAAAACTGGTATCTGTCTTTTCGATGTCAAAGCCGCTTTCCCGTCGGTTTATCATTCCTGGATTTTTCACATTTTGGAAGCCATGCAATTGCCCCCAGCTATTGTCCGTGCAGTGCGTGCTCTTTACACAGACATCCAGATGAAGGTGTCTTTTAATGGCTGCCGTGATCATCAGTTTCCTGTGGAAAGAGGGGTCAAGCAAGGGTGTCCGCTTAGCGGAGTCATTTTCGCGCTGTGTTTCGACCCGATCTTGCGGAGCATGATCGAGGCTTTGCCAGTTCCTGGAGTGCTAAGAGCATTTGCTGACGACGTTGGCCTCACGAGCGCCAACATGTACGAGTGCTTACCGCCAGTTCTTAGATTGTGGGTGAGTGCTGCAGGAGCAGCAGGTTTGGTCTTGAACCTCTCGAAGTCGGAGTTGTGTTTCTTATTTCCGCAATCGGACATCGCTGGAGAATTTCGTAGGTACGGAGTTCGTATTCGCAGTTTCAAGATTCGGTCGAAGGTTCTGTATCTTGGTGTATGGATGGGTCCTGGGGCTCATGAAGTCGTGTGGGAAAAGCCAATCGCTAAGTGTCGTGCTCGGGGACTTCTGATTAGGGCTCTTGGAAAGTCTCTTGTGGGGAGCATCCTGGCCTACAACACGTACGGCTTCACTGTACTATCGTATATTATGCAGTTCTACCCTCCATCTAATACGGCACTGAAAAAAGAACGGGATGTGGTCCAGTTGCTCACTGCCTCCCCGCGTTTTTCGATCCCGACGGACGTGCTGCGCGATTTCAAGGACCTACAATTTGGGGCTGAGGTCCGTTGCTTCCAATTGGTGTGTGACGCCGCCAGATATCGTGCTGCTTTTTACTCTTCAGCCTTCCACAGAGGGCGACTAACTCTTGAGAGCGCAGAGGCAAGTGACGAGAGGACTCTTACCCCAAGTCTTCCAGAATGGCGCTCCAATAGCATCCTGTACCAGATGATCTCTTTATATGATCGTATTTGGCGTATTCCTCAGGTTCCGCAAGCCCCCTGTGCTGAGCTCCAGAAGAAAACCGAGAAGGCCCTGAGACCCCATATGTTCAATATTCCTATGGCCAGAAGATTTCTTTCCAGAATGAAGTACTGGAGTAGTGATGCCACTGTGAGTGAAGCCAACGATTTTGTGTCGCAGTTGCGTGTAATAAATAAAGCATTGCCCGTGTTTATAGGAATTAGTGTTGTCAAATCCGTTTGCAACTCCTGGTGCACCACCCGTAGGTTCCATCAGGGGACCCTTTCGTGCCGTTTCGGGTGTTGTGCCGTGGGAGGTGACTCGCTCGAACACTATCTTGTTTGTCCCATCTATGTTGCCTCTGTCTCTCGCTTGCTTCCTGCTCTGCCCCCTCTCTGGTCACAGCTCAGCTTCCTTGATCGTGTTTTCATGCGTTCCCATACGTGGAGCACAGGTGAACAGCTGCATACACTAGCAGTTTCGCTTGATTTGGGGTTCAGCACATTCAACGCTCAGAGAATGGAGGAAAGATTTGACTCTGTTCATGCTGTGCAGCACCTTGAAGGGAGGATCAGGGCCTTAAGCAGGAGGTCGCCCGTGCTGCGCAGCCTCTGCGTGTAGCCGCCCGTCACCGAGGAGCTTCTTCATGGGGTCGGGTATCATCAACATCAGCGTCATCATCAACATCATTTGCATCGTCCTCGTCATCGTCCTCATCGTCATCACCACCAGCATCAGCAACTTCATCGTCATCACCACCCCCTTTCATCATCATCACCAGCGTCACCATCACCATCATCATCATCAGCATTATCCTTATACTCATCATCAGCAGCATCATCATCATCCTTCCTCCCTCCCTCACTCCCTCCTCCTCCTCCTTCTCCTTATCCTCCTCTTCCTCCTCCTCCTCCTCCTCCTTATCCTCCTCCTCCTCGTCCTCCCCATCCTCCTCCTCCTTCTCCTCCTCCTCGTCCTCCTTCTCTTCCTCCTCCTCATCCTCATCCTCCTCATCCTTATTATCCGCCTCCTCCTCCTCTTCCTCCTCCACCTCGTCCTCCTCCTCCTCCGCCTCATCTTCCCTCTCCTCCTCCTCCTCCTCCTCCCCTCCTCCTTCCTACTCCTACACTCTACTCCGCTCTACTACTACTATACTACTACTACTTACTACTACTACTACTACTACTACTACTACTACTACTACTACTACTAACTCCTCGACTACTACTACTACTACTACTACTACTACTACTACTACTACTACTACTACTACTACTACTACTACTACTACTACTACGACTACTATTACTACTACTACTACTACTACTACTACTACTACTACTACTACTACTACTACTACTACTACTACTACTACTACTACTACTACTACTACTACTACTACTACTACTACTACTACTACTACTACTACTACTACTACTACTACTACTACTACTACTACGACTACTACTACTACTACTACTACTACTACTACTACCCCTCCTCCTCTCTTCCGCCTCCTCCTCATCCTCCTCCTCCTCCACCCCCTTCTCCTCCTCGTCTTCCTCATCATCATCCTCCGCCTTCTCCTACTCCCACTCCTACTCCCACTCTTACTCCTACTCCTACTCCTACTCCTACTCCTACTCCTCCTTCCCTGCATCCTCCTCCATCCTTCTCCTCCTCATCCTCCTCCGCCCCCTCCTCCTCCTCGCCCCCAGGGCAGAGGCTGGGGAGCTGGTGCAGCACCAGCGCCGCGCAGCGTCCTGGGGGTGGTGAGTGTTGTTCGCTAAAAGCTGTCGGCCCCAGGGTCAGTCTCAGCACTCGGGCCACCCCGCACCACATCGTGGTCGGTGGAGGCTCATGGACGCGTGCCACCTGGCCCCAACGGTGACTTGTGGGGGCGGTTCTGGGCACAGTTACGTTTCGCGCCAGGTGACCCGCCGATGCGGCCGAGGGCGTTCCAGGGTCCCGACCTGCAGCGGAAGGCGGAGGCCTGGGCCAGGGCTCTGCGCCTCGTCATCTGAGTGAGGCTGGCCTGCGCGTTGCCGCCTCCAGTTTTCCCCTCACGAGGTTTCCGGTTGCCTCGCAGCCCACGGCGGGCAGGAACTAAGGCCCCTCGGGCGGTGAGTTGCGCCGCCTTGCGTTCTGGGGCAGCTGGTTTCCTCCTCGACGAGACGCGTGGCGCCACGCGGGCGCCAGGGCGGCGCGCCGGAGGCCTGTCGGATCGCCGTCCCCAGTTTTCGACAGCACAGGGTGCGGTACCAAAGAGTTATCCTCCTCCTCGTCCTCCTCCTCCTCTTCCTCCTCCTCCTCCTCCTCCTCCTCCTCCTCCACCCCCTCATTATCCTCTTCCTCCTCTCCTCCTCTCCATCCTCCTCCTGTTTTGACGGCGTTTAACCAGCTTCGTGTCAGTGGTCTGCCTCAGGGTGGCATGGCGTAGATGTGCCTTTTGCACGGAGTGGGAGCAGCAGGAGGGGGAGGACAGGGAGGCGTAGGAGGAGGACGCTGAGGAGGAGGCAGAGGCCTCAGTTCCTGGGCCCCCAGAGGTGTCCAGAGGCATCGGGGCGAGGATTCAGAGCAGCCCCCCGAGGCCTTCGGCGGCCGAAGGTGCCCCAGAGCCTCGAATTATTCGAGCCTCGACGGCGGAGAAGGAGAAAGACCACCAGGAGGAGCAGCAGCCGGAGGAAGAGCGAGGGGTCGTGACCCCTTCGTCGTCGTCGCCGCCGTCGTCGTCGTCGTCCGCTTCCCCGTTGTCATCGTCGACCTCGTCGTCGTCGAGGTCGCCGCCGCCGTCGTCATCGTCATCCTCTTCGCCGTCGTCGTCGGCGTTGGCGTCGCCGCCTTCGTCATTGCACCCCCACCCTCCCTCGGAGCCGTCGTGGCGTGCCGAGGTGCAGGTGCAGTTGCAGAGAGCCGTCCGCGAGGACCGCCGAGGGATCCGAACGGGGGGCAAGGGCGCGGGCCCAGGACGGGGCAAGGAAGGATGAGGGGAGGGGCGGGGAGGGAGGAGGTGGAAGATGAGAAGGAGGAGGAGGAGGAGAAGGAGGAGGAGGAAAAGGAGGAGGAGGAGGGGGAGGAGGAGGAAAAGGAGGAGGAGGGGGAGGAGAGGGAGGGGAGGAGGGGGAGGAGGGCGAGGGGCAGCGGGAGCGGGAGAGGGAGGAGGACGAGGAGGAGGAGGAAGAGGAGGATGATGGTGAGAAGTATGAGCTTGATGATGGCGATGGTGATGATGATGATGATGATGATGATGATGATGATGATGATGATGATGATGATGATGATGATGATGATGATGATGATGGTGATGGTGATGGTGATGGTGATGGTGATGGTGATGGTGATGGTGATGGTGATGGTGATGGTGATGATGATGATGATGATGGTGATGGTGATGATGATGATGATGATGATGATGATGATGATAATGGTGATGGTAATGACGATGGTGATGATGGTGGTGATGATGGTAATGGTGGTGGTGACGATGATTGTGATGGTGATGGTGATGGCGCTGGTGATGATGAGGATGAGGATGATGATGGTGATGATGATGGTGGTGGTCGTAAGGGTGATAGTAGTGGTGGTGATGATGGCCATGGTGATGGCAATGGTGGTGATGATGGTAATGGTGACGATGAGAGTGATGATGGTGATGCTGATGATGACGATGATGAGTATGCTGATGATGATTATGGTGATGATGATGTTGATGGTGAAGATGGTGATTGCGATGGTGATGGTGGTGATGATGGTGGTGGTGATGACGTTGGAGATGATGGCGATGACGATTGTGATGCTGATGGTGAGTATGATGATGGTGATGGTGATTGTGATGGTTATGATGATGGTGATGATGATTGTGTATGTGATGATGTTGCTGATGGTGATGGTGATGGTGATGGTGGTGATGCTGATGATGATGTTAATGATGGTGACGGTGATGCTACTGGTGGTGATGATGGTGATTGTGATGGTGATGGTGTTGATGGTGATGGTGATGGTCATGAGCATGGCCATGGTCATGATGATGGTGGTGATGATGATGATGGTGATTGTGATGGTGATGATGATGGTGATGGTGATGGTGGTTGTGATGATGATGGTGAGGGTCATGATCATGGTCATGGTCATGATGATGAGTGCGGTGATGAGGAGGAGGAGGAGGATGGCGATGTGGATGGTGATGGTGATAGTGATGATGATGATGATGTTGATGATGATGATGATGATGATGATGATGATGATGATGATGGTGGTGATGATGGTAATGGTGGTGGTGACGATGACGGTGCTGGTGCTGGTGTTGGTGCTGGTGCTGGTGATGATGATTGTGATGGTGATGGTGTTGGTGATGACGACGATAACGATGAGGAGGAGGAGGAGGAGGTGGAGGAGCGGGATTTGCCAGAAGTCGCGCGCACGCATCCGACCCTCCATCAACAATGCAGGGTGTGGGATGCTCAAGTGCGCGCTCGCGCTGCCTGGGCCCAACCCCCACACTCATACACATGCCTCGCATACGCCAGAGGGGACACTTCCTTCCTCGCGTCTACAAGTACGCGGCCCCCGTCAAAGGGGGGAGGCGTCATGCGTCGCCTCTACCTGGGTCGGGGAGGAGGAGGAGCGGCAGAAGGAGGAGGAGGAGGAGGAGAAGGGCAGCCAGCAGAGCGGGAGAAGCAAGGGCAGGAGGAGGAGGAGGAGGAGAGCCGTTGCACGACTCGGGGGCGCAGACCCCCCCCGCCGGGCCCTCGACATAGGGGCGGGGGGTCCCGCAGCGGGCAATTGCCAAGCGAGGCGCCCAGCCGCGCCGTGGTGCCCACCCTGGGCGCAGTTGGCCGCGACACCCGCCCGCGCCCCAGCCGCCAACATGGAAGGACGAGATGCGTCGGGCCCCCTCGTGCCTGGGCTCACTGCGCCCATCCGCCGCATGGGCGTCGCGGCTAGGAGACGACGCCCAGTCTCAGCCTCCAACATGATGGCTGCGACCATCAGCCGGCTCAACGACCTCCACAGGGACTTCGACGAGCTCGATGACCCTCAGTATTTACGGGGAGGGATGTCATGAGGAGGAGGAGGAGGAGGAGGAGGAGGAGGAAGAGGAGGACGACGACGACGACAGCGACTCTCTCCCCCACTCCCCCCTTTGCACCTGACGCCCGACCCGACGACGACAACGACGACGACGACGACGACGACGACGACGACGACGACGACCCCCCGGGCACTTCTCTTCGCCCCTGCCGTGCCCGACGCCCCTCCCCACGCCCACGCCGACACCAAGAGCGCCCAGCCCCGTGGCCAGCCTCACCCCCAGTTCTACTCAGGAGGGAAAAAAACACACAGACACAATTAATCGTCGATTCCCCAGAAAATATGCGAAAATATGGGAAGTGGGGGGAAGACAAAAACCAAGAAAATATGAGGAAATATGGGGAAACTTTTTATTTGTGTGTATTTATTTGTGTGTCCTGGGGCCCCTTTATCTACGCCCAGGCAGAGGCCGCCATCCATCGTGAAGAAGGAGGCGGCCATCTTCGTCCTGGCCGTGCCAGCCGGGCACTGGGCCACCAGCGCCAGCGCCGATTACCGCGATGATGGGGCTCTCCGCCTGCCGCCCTTTCTCCTGGCGTGCGCCTACGACGCATACCTCCACAACCCCCTTACCCCACGGCCCCCACGACGGACCCCGCGACCCCTCAGCCACGCCCCGAGTGGGCGCGCGCCCTGAAAGGGAGCCCGTGGGGGTATACCCGGGGAAGCAGCCATGGGGGCCGCTGACCAGACCGTGGCTGGCGCCACCTGTCCTCTGGCAGACTCCAAATCCCAAGTTGCCGCATGCCCTGAGAGGGAGCCCGCGGAGGGCATACCCGGGGAACCGGTCATGGGGACAGCCGAGCCCCTTCAGGACGCCCCCCACGACGGCTCCCGCGACGGCCCCCGCGAGCGACCCCCACGGCTGGCCCCCACGACGACTCCCCCTCGCCCTCCCTCCTCTCGTGGGGGGGGCCACGGCTCCCTGCCCTACGACCACGCCCTGCCCCACGACCCCCTGTCCCTCGACCCCCGCAGCCCCCTGCCCTACCCGACGGACCCCACGACCCCCTACGCAATGGCCCCCCCGATACAGCCGCGCCCCGAGTGGCCGCACGCCCTGGCAGGGAGCCCGCGGGGGCGGGGGGGGGGGGCATACCTGGGGAAGCGGCCGCAGGGGCCGCTGGCCAGCCCAAGGCTGGCGCCGTCTGCCCCGTCGGCGGGTTCAGATCTCGAGTGGCCGTGTGCCCTGAGGGGCCCACGAAGGGCATGTCCGGGAAGCGGTCACAGGGACCGCCGAAGCCACTCCCTGGGACCCCCCACCCGACCCCCGCAACGGCCCCACGGCCCCCCACCCGGCGAGCGCTCCCACGACCCACCACAACGACGGTCCCAAACGACAGCCACTGCACGACGGCCTTCCGTGGCCGTCTCGGCGACGGCCTCCGCATCGGACCTTGCGACGGCCTCCCGCGGCGGCCCCCGCGACGGTTCCCACGACGACCCCGCCCCAATTGCGACGAAAGAGGAAGCCCGCCGCGGCGACGACTTCGACAACGACAAAACCTCCCCCTAAAGCGCCGACGCCGGCGACTGCCAAGACGGGCGCGAGGGCAGACCGACAGACGGCCCTGCCGACGCCCCCCCGTGGCACCCTCCGTGACGCTCTCCGCAACGTCCAAACCGACACACCACCCCACCCTCTACCCGACACGTCGTCAGACGCGCACCCAGCAGTAGACCCCCTACTTCTCGGATTACTTCGGCTACGCGGACAGCGTTTCCCTCGCGGGTGGCTGGCCGGACGACCAGACAACCGATTTTGCGACCCCCCGACGCCCCCCACGACGGCCCCTGGGTGACGACCCCCATTGCGGCGACCACCGCGACGGACCCCCACCACGACCCCCACGACGACTCCCACAACGGCGACCGCCAAACCGAGCTTGAGGACGGCCGCGGCCACCACGACAACCCCCACGACAACCCCCGCGACAGCCACCGCGACGGCCTCGCCGACAGCCCCCGCGACGGCCGCGACGACACCCCCCCGAGCACGACTACGAAGACGGCGCCGTCTCTTCTGAGGAGACAAGCCCCGAGGAGGACGGGGGTGCCACCTCCGGCGACTCCGACACGGCGAACCTATTTCTTTCCGCCTGGCGACAGAGACGGCGGCAGTTCTACCAAAGATGACCATCTCCCCACCGCCCACCCACTCACGACCCCTCTGCCAACGACGCTGTCCCTTCCTCCGACGCCCCCCCCCATGCCCACAACGCTGCGCCACGATCCCCCGCGACCACCTGCTCCGCGACCCCAGCACAGTTGTGTGAGCTATATTGGATAGTGGAAGAAGGGTTATCTTGGCCGTGGCAAGTGCTGACGGTCATCGGTCGCCTCTTGGTTAAAATCAGGTGGCAATCAACTCATCGGTTTGATCGCCATGTTCTGCAGGTTGTGGAGGTTGGCGCGGGAAGGGCAAGTACGGCAGTGGGCTCTAGACGACGAGCCGATGTGGCACGCTGCGGTGGCCAACAACAGTGCTCGTCGCGAGGCTCATGTCCGAGCGCTAGACGAAGAGATTTTTGTTCGACTCCAAGTTCCTCAAGGACATGGGTCAGTGGACGCGCACGCTTTTTACGACAGCATTAAATTGCCGCATCTGGCACGAGGAGCTTTTCGTCCGCGGCTTCCTCCGACGATGTTGTTTTTGGAGTTGCAGATATGTTTGAGTTTACGGCTGATCGCGCAAGTCTCGTCGTTTTTTTGTGTTTTTTTTTTTTCAGCCCACGCGTTCGGTGGCCCAGGGCTTGCGAAGTGGGGCGAGATTTGCAAGCTGTATGAATCATTGGGTTCTGCATCGACTGCGCACTATTTACCCATCTTTATCAGAGAGGCTGTGGATAGATGATCTGTCGATGCGCACGCATGGTTATCGTAGGCAGAACCGTACTATGTTAGCGAAGGGTATATCCAGCGCGCCCAAGTTTCTGAAGTTCCAGGGTCTGTCGATGTCGCCGAAGTCGGTTGTCACGTGCTCCCACTACGTTGATGCTGAGGCTACCGCGCAGCAGCTGAAGCGCAAGGGTATCCACATCCAGGGGTGCTTGCAGGTGGCCCACCTCGGCGTGGACCTTGGCGGAGGCAGGAGGCACGCGCGCAACGCGGCCAGGAAGCGGGTGGCCAAGTCGAAGGCCCAGCATGGGAAGCTTCGACGTTTCGCGAGGGCTGCTTGCCGATACGCGACGACGGCGAAGTTACAAAGGGCGGGACCTTGGTCTGCAGCGGTGCACGGCCACCAGGTCTATGGCTGTTTCGGGACCTCCATTGTTGCGCAGAGGCGTCGGTTCGCTGCGGCGGCGAGTTCGGCGCGTCGGGGCCGGCGCACGACGACGCCGCTGGCGCTTCGACTTCCAGGTTCAGATCCTGGTTTGGTGTTGCCCAGGCAGAGTTTCGCTCAGTGGCTTCACGCATGGGAGACCGAGCCTCGGCTGCGCGCGGGCATCCAGCGCGCGCGGGACAGCGCAGTTCGGTTCGTCTCAGCGATGCCTAAGGCCCAGAGGTCTAGGCACATCCGAGGGCCTATATCTACCACAATCCCTCATTTGCTTCAGGCGGGTTGGCTTCCATCCTCAGCTGCTGAGTGGGGCGCCACGAATGACTGCGCTCGCGATCGCCATGCTTGGACATGTCCTTCGGTCGCGCCCCCACTTGAAGAGTTTGAGGAGTCGCTCGCAGCATGGCCACGGCAGCGGCGAGAAGCTGCTCGGATGCATTGCGGGGAAGGCGTGTCTAGCGGAGTGGATTTGTCGAGCTACCCCCAGTTATTGTCGAGCTTGCCCCAAGCCCACAAAGGGCGACAGCTGGTAGAACTCATGATGTCTATTGCCGTAGGTGGATCGTGGCCCAAGGAATGGAAGATTCAAGCAAAACTGCCAGGATGCGACTCAGACGTGCGCGACCGCTGCAAAGAGTCTGCGGGGGCGGCATGTCATCGCACGTGGGAGCGTCCACGCAGCGACATCAGCCGTGCTGTTGCTGACTCCGAGTATCTCGTGGCGCGAGCGGGTCCTGAACGAGATAGTCATGCTTCTGGACAAGAGGCATCATCCCAGTCAGCTGGACGTGGGCGCCCGAGCCCGTCGTCGAGCCGCAGTGGGACGTGCTCAATATGAAGGGGCCCTTTGCTGAAGGCAGTCTTGGCGCAAATGCGCGAGCAGCTCCACTAGTTGTCTGCGGAGACGCGTCAGGCGGGGCCGACTCGCGCGACGCGCGCATGCGTCGAGTGGGCCTTGGGCTCGCCGTGCTGCCGGGCTTCTCTCCAGTGAGGATAGGGCCGTTCATGCTGGGACCCTCGCGGGGGGCGCAGTCTCAGCAGACGGTGCCGCGCGGAGAGTTTCAATGGTTAGCTTCCGCGAACGGGCCTTCTGAGGGCGCGTTGGTGCACGTCACCGACAATGATGAGGTTTGTAGAGGACGTTGACAGGCATTGCATTCACGACCGCGCCAGAATGCAGACCTGTGGAGGGTCATCAAAAGCCATCTGCTACGCCAGGCGCGTGTTCCAGCAGATGCGGTTGTGCTTCGACTATATTTGCATTTGTCCCCGCGGGAGCATTTCGCTCGCGGCATCGCGATCTGGCTTGTGCGGGGCAATGAAGCTGCTGATACGTTGGCGGAGGCAGCGGCAGCAAAACGCAGGGCCCCTGAGTCTCACAGGACGCGGGTGGCCACAGTCGAGCGCGATGCGTCAGTTGTTCGGCGGCGACTGCCACGAGCTACTCCTTTGGTTTTTCGGCATGAGGCACAGCAGAAGCGAGAGGCGAAGAGAGAGAGAGAGAGAGAGAGAGGATTGCTGAGAGAGTGCTTGATGTTCCTCCACATCCTCCGCCGCCTCCCCCTGCTCCGAGTATTGCGGCACGCTTCGCGACTGCGCAAACTCTAGGGGAAGACGGGAGGCCGTGTACAGTGTGTAGGGGTAGTTAGTGCATCCATATCGCGTGCGAAGGCTTGGTTGAGGAGTTTGTTTCTCGTTGTAAGATGGAAACGGTAGGCCTTCTGGGCTACCCGGAGGACGGCAAATACAGATTGCTGGCGGCTGGGCCCACCCCTCACATTCAATGTCTTATGACGTGTCACTCAGAATTTGGTATTGCGCATCGTACGGCTACTGTGTAGTCTCAGATCAGGGGGCTCGGGGTGCCTTGCAAGCCATTTATCCTAAGAGCCGTCGAGAATTACTCGATAGAATTTCACCTGATCTCTTCCCCAAGGTTTACATGGGGTGCAGAAGTTGGCATTGGCATCTGTCAAGGCGGTAATCCTGGCAACCCTGCACCACCCGACGGCCCACGCGGCCCCCCATTCAACGGCCCCCCTCGACGGCCGCACCCCGACCGGCCGCACGCCATGAGAGGGAGCCCTTGGACACACCCGCGGGGGGCGGCCAGTGGCGCAGTCGAGGCCATCTCCTGACGGCTGGACGGCCCAGAGGACGGCCGAGGTGGTGAGCCGCCAGTGTTGTAAATCAACCGCTGGAGGCTTGGGCCGTGAGCCACTTCGCCCAACCGCCCTCCCGGCCGCTCAGTTGCCCCCCTAAGTGCCCCGCCCACTTCGCGACCTCATTCTTTTGGCGGAAGGGCACAGTTGGGGGCTACCAGGGGGGGAGGGAGGTCTCGCCGAAGGCCGCTTTGGCAAGGCCAGAGCGGCCGCTGCCAACTGCCACCCGCCGCAGAGACCCCTGCAACATGCCACTGGCTGCCACCACGGATGGCGTGAATCTCCCTTCCGCTGGCGGGCATCCCCAGAGCCGTTCCCTTACCCGCCCGCGGGCACTCTGTCAGCCTCGGCAGACAGCGGGCACCTTGAGCGGGCAAGAGAGCGGGTTCGCGGGGAGCCCGATGGTGGGAGGGGAGAGGCCCTCACGCCACCCCTCTTATGGCAAGACCGCGCCGCACGCCGGACCCCTCTGTACTATCCTTCCCGCCTCCCCCTCCTCCCTCCCGGGTGCCTCGATGCTATCGACGCGCAGCACTGTCGAAGGCGTCGTGAAGGTTCGGGGCGAACCGCCAAGCCCTGGGACCCCGACGGGCCCCGGCCGCCCCAGCGGCCAGCAGCTTGGGCAACCCGCACCCGCCAACACGGTGGACAGCATGTCTGCCTCACCACGCACAGGCCCGGAGCACCGACGCCGACAAGCTACGGAACAGAGGACAGCACAATTTGCGTTTCTCGTTTCACGTTTTGACTGCAAAAATTGCCCACCACGAGCCACCCTCAGCGCGAACGCCACCACCGCCGTAGGCTCACTTTAACTACAGCCCACCAGCGACAGCACCACCGCTGGCAGCTCCTCCCTGCTCTCCACACAATTTCTTCCTCGCCCTCCTCCCCTTTCCTCTCCCTTGGCGCGCGCCCGTGGCACGGGCACACACCCCATGAGGGGGGCCAGGCGGACGGCAAGGGATGGGTCGAGTTTGAAGCAGGAGGAAGCCCTGGTGGCGCGGCGCCGCCACGGAGTTGATCCATCCCCCTCCTGGCGGCAACGGCCGCGGGGCCGGGGGAAGGCAGCGTGTGAACAACAGCCGTGACATCAGCCCGCAGCCCGCAGGAGGGGGAGGAGGAGGAGGAGGAGGAGGAGGAAGAGGAGGAGGAGGAGGAGGAGGAGGAGGAGGAGGAGGAGGAGCAGAAGAGGAGGAAGGAGAGGAGAAGGAGAAGGAGAAGGAGAAGGAGAAGGAGAAGGAGAAGGAGAAGGAGAAGGAGAAGGAGAAGGAGAAGGAGGAGAAGGAGAAGAGAAGGAGAAGGAGAAGGAGAAGGAGGAGGAGGAGGAGGAGGATAAGGATAAGGATAAGGATAAGGATAAGGATAAGGATAAGGATAAGGATAAGGATATGGATAAGGATAAGGATAAGGAGGAGGAGGAGGAGGAGGAGCAGCAGCAGCAGCAGCAGCGTGAGAAGCGGGCGGGGCACGAGGCTGCACGCGCCCGGTTGCAGCAGCCGCGGGCACGCCCCGGCGGGCGGGCGGCCCGCACCGGCGCCCAGGCCCTCGAGGCCGCGTTCGACGCCGGGCTGCCGGCGGCTCGGCGCGCCTGCCGAGGGCCGGCGGGGGGCCGACAGTCAGGAGGGAAAGGAGCACACAGGCACAACACATCGTCGATCCCCCCTCCTCCCTCCTCCTCCCTCCTCCTCCCCTCCTCCTCCTCCTCGTCCCTCCTCGTCCCTCCTCCTCCTCCTCCTCCTCCTCCTCCTCCTCCTCCTCCTCCTCCTCCTCCTCCTCCCTCCTGCCCTCCTCCTCCCTCCTGCCCGCCCCCCCTCCGCTCGCCGGAGCGGGCGGGAGCGCTCGTCCACGGAGCGCCAGGAAGCCGTGGTCCACGAAGATGGGAAAATGTGGGGAGGTGTGGGGGGGAAGACAGAGGCCCCGAAAATCTGGGGAAATATGGGACCTCCTGTCATTTGTGTCTATCTATTTCTGTGTGTGTCCCAGGGCCCCTTCAGGCATGGCAAGCAGTCGGGAGCCTCGAGACGGGGGTCAGTGCAGACGGGGGTCGGCCAGAGCGCCGCATCCTGCATGATCCTGCAGCGCCAGGGCTGCATCGACCCGGGCTTGCGCGCAGGATCCTGCAAAGCCCGACTGACCCAGGTTTGCATTGACCCGGGTCGGTGGGTACACGAAGCAGTGGCGAAGCGTCTTGATTCGCCTGAACGACAACCGAGGAATGTTCTATTAACCTTGGGTGTTTTGCACGAAGGGTTATGAGAATGCTGCTGGCTGGGAGATTCTTGGTCGACCCCATCGCTTTCATGATCGAAGAGCCTTCTTTTGTGTGATTCGCTCATTCGTTTGTTTCAAAATCATGTCGTGGGTCGGCCCCTGCTCAAACATGGGGACGGAAAGGATGGGGACGAAGACCGCCAGCAGCTCCTGCCCGTTTGTGACATCGGCGGCAGCCGAGGGGGCAGTGAGAGGGGACAGGCCTTCTCGGAAGGCGGCAGGGCTTGTCAGAAGCCCTCCGGCCTTCTGAGAAGCCCCCTGTGGTTTCGGGAAGCGCCGCTTCATGAAGGTCATGCCCGTCGGCGCCCTGGCGGCGCCTCCCGGGCTAGACCAGCAAAAGTTGATCCACGTCGCCCCGCTGGGGAAGGTTTAGAAACCATGCCAGAAAGCCAGAGGCCTCCAGAGGCTTCTGAGGAGGTCCGCCCCCTTCTGCCTCCCCCTTGGGCGCGCGGCCGAGGCAGCAGTTCATGCCCGTTTTGAGCAAGGGTTCACTGTCGGCGCGGCCGTGGGCAGTGTCCGTTTGAGACAACAGGTCGATTACCCAATAGTGGCCCATCAGGTTCCAACCCATGAGCTCCAACCAACTCCATTCTCAAAGGTTCCCTCCCATCAGGTCACACCTTCGAGGGTCCCACCCAGAGGGTCCCACGTCATAATTACTGTCTCTCCCTGTCGGGCCCAGCTCCATGGGGTCCCACGTCATAGCGTCCCCCCCTCTTTCTCCAATCCGTACCCTTGTTTGGCTCAAGGGCCGAACTGGCTCGGGTACCTTCGCGCTTATGGCTACGAGTGCTCCTCGCCGACGCGGGAGGCCCTGGTGCTCCCTCCCCAGCGGCCCAACGGCGGCGAGGGCCGCTGCGCAGCGCCGCGCATGGCCCGGTGGCAGCGAGCACCTGCGCCACTGCGCCCCGCTGCGCCAGCACGCCCGTCACTTCGCGCGGCTCCCGCCGCGGCAGAGGCAGCGGGCATTGCAACTCTACCGCGGCGCTGCGGCGGGCTGGTCGCAGCCGGCTTTGCAGCGCCACGCTTCGCACGCAGCGGCCTCGGCCCTTGACGAGGCCGGTCGTCTCTGGCGCCCCCAAGGTCGCCCATGGCGAGCGAAGCACCCGATGGCCCGCGGAGTTCAGCCTGGCGCTGCTGCTGGCCGGGCTCTTACGCCACTGCAGAGGTCCTCTCTCGCCTTGGCTGAGCGCCACGTTGGGGCCAGACCCCCGCGGGGCCAGCCGCAGCGATGGCTAGGCCGAGTTGCGAGAGAGCGCGGCCGGGCTGCAGCGGAAGACCCAGCCCTTCCGCGGGCGCCAGCGCTGCAGATTCGCCCAGCGCGTGGAGCAGGAGCGCTTCTGCCTGTTCGCCAGGGCGGACGCTCGCTGGCGGGCTTTGGATTGGCTGGAACAGCTGCGGAGGTCTGAAGAACTGCAGCGCCGCTTCGCGAAGGCGGCACGGGCGTTCCATGCAGTCGTTTTCCGCGTCGTGCTGTGCGAGGCACGCGCCAGGCTCTCGCCGCCACGCCCTCGGAGAAAGGAGCGGGCAGCCCACTGGACCGGGGCGCGCAGGAGCGCTTGCTTGAGGGCCCTGCAGGGCCTTGGTTGCGAGGACAGTCGAGGTCTGGCGCGACAAGTGGGACGACGACCAGATCCAGGAAATCCTCGCCCGCGTGCAGTGCCCAGCCCGCAAAATCAAGGCCGCTGGCGCCCAGATTGAGGACGCCTGCGCCAGGCAGCAGCGGACACGGCTCCAGCAGTGCGCCCAGGCCCTTCGGGTCGGGAGGAGACTTCGGTCAGGAACCAGACGCTCTGCGGGCACCTACGGGCGCGGCGTGCGCGGGCGGGTGGAGAAGCCCTGCCGTAGCCGTCGAGCTGAGGCCCGCCAGGACAGTTGGCAGCAAGCGACGCTCATCAAAAAAACGAAATGGACGCACCACGGTTGGGACGCGACGACGTGTTGACCGCCGTCCGCGAGAGCCAGGTCCTGGTAGCCAACGAGCCAGCGACATCCGGAGGGCGGATTGGAACGCGATCGCCAAGAAGTTAGATGGGCCGCAGCGCTTCAAGTGTGAAAACTTCCTATCGTTCGTGACAGACCCCGCGCATGCGAAGCCTGACCCTGCAAGTGAAGTGAAAAGGCACAAGCATGGCATCATCAAAGAATTGGTGCAAGCGGCGATGTGGCAGTTGGGCGACCAGGCCACCTGCTTTGAGATGTTCGAGTGTTGCCGGTCGCACCCTGCCAGCAGGCAGCAATTCTGAGAGCATTTACGCCACCACCCCGCCAAGGTGCTTGGCACCAAGAATGTTAAGCGTTGGGAGGCCACGATAATTCTAACCCCCGTAAGCTCTTCGAAGCGACTGGTGATGGTGATAGGGAAGGCGACGATGCAAGCGGCGAGCGTGATGGTGGTGGTGATGCCTTCTTGTACGTTGTATGATCGTAGGGATGGTTATGGTGGTGCTGATGACGGTGATAAGATCAAGAAGTTGCTGAAGCATGTCGCAAAGATTGGGGTACCAGGGGGCGATCGGGCACAAGGCCCCGACAGCATGTTCGACGGCGTCTCTTTGGAGGGGAAGGTGTGGTGCACCTTTGTTCGGCCTCTGCATCTTACTCCCTCTCCTCCTCCTCCTCATCATCATCCTTCTCCTCATCCTTCTCCTCCTCCTCCTCCTCCTCCTCCTCGCCCTCCTCCTCCTCCTCCTCCTCTCCTCCTCCTCCTCCTCCTTTCCTCCTCCTCCTCCTCCTCCTCCTCCTCCTCCTCCTCCTCCTCCTCCCGATAATAAAGTCATCTCCCAGAACGACCAGCCGAGTCGATGAGGACAGACGAAGACAGAGCCCCACGGAGCTCGGACGGCAGCCGCTCGAACCTCCGTTGGCCGTGGAGCTGCGCGATGCCCCGGCCAAGTGCACGGGGCCGTGCCAGTGCGGGGTGCTGGCGCAGCTCATCAGCGCAACGTGTTCTGCCCTCGCCGCGGCGTCCGCCTGCGCACGGTCGCGCGCGCCGCAGGGACTCTGAAAGTGCCTTCGGGGCGGCTCAGGGGTGACCGAAAAATGGCAGAGTTTGCGTTCCAGCGTTTTTCTTTTGCGGCGTTGGGCGCCCTGGCGCGGACGGCCGAACGACCCCTGCAGCGGGAAG